TATTGGATTTGTGTAGGCTTAAACTTAAGATTGTTGATGTTATTTGATGACATATTTACTTGCATGAAGACAACTGTATTTACATTTTGGGGTTTGTCCTTAGCATTTGAAACTCTCCATTAACTAACTCTCTAGTGTTACTTTTGACAATTTCCCACTTATTTTCGACATCTCAGTCAAGGTTTATTACCTTATTAAGGGGTCTTGTTTCTTAAGATAGTTTGACTGGGCGGTTAGCACAGTCAAAGAAGCAAGATTTCCGGAGAATATGCTGAGGATGTGCCCGAGATACGCGGAGCTAGATGAAGGAGTTGAAAGAAGCTATAAATACATGAAGTCCGAGCGGATTTCGAGCAACTTTCATTTATGCAAGAGCTTAAAGACTACACTTCACTTGTAACACATCTTATTCGAGATCTTATTGTATATTCGATTCATATCGATATAAATTTAGTTTCACTCTACTTTTCTTTTAATCGTTGAATTTATAGATCTTTTTTAGGAACAAAGTTTTTTCTTTAAATTAACATACAAATATTTAGTGCGGCTTCCACACGGAGTGTTGTCGAATTGCCGAGACTCGAGAATACCTTGTGAGAAAAATATTCAAAATAATAATTAATGATGATTATGAATTCAGGTGAAGGGATTTATCCAATTAAACCGAACCGGCTCCATATCAGATGAGCTCAATTAATTTGTTGGTGCATCGTTTTTAGGTTTATGAAAGCCGACAAATATTTGAATCAAGACAACGACTTCCACATCATCATCAACATGATCGAGCTGGTTTCCAAGTGTGAATCCAAGACTAAACTAACTTCCACAATTTATGTCTCTTTATCTCTCCACTTCGCTCTAGAAAGAGAGAGAGAAAGCAAATTGGGTTGACTTTACACAACCATTCAATCAAAGTCAAGCTGTTGAAAATTCTTCTCTTTTCAATCTCATCAATTCCAATTTCTCAATCTCTGTTTCTTCTTCCTTCCCAAATTTCACACCAGAACACAAAACCCTTTAATCAAAACCAAAGAAAGAAGATCACTTTCAAGTTTCAATCAATCAAAAATGAAGAAAGAACCGACTCATAATCTCTACCTTCTTCCATGTCTCTTGATTCTTCTTTCGTCACTCCGTCTAACCACCGGAGACGCAAGAGCTAGAGCCGTTCAAGTCACATGCTCACCACTCCTCGAGCACAACGAAACCGCTTACGTCCCTAACTTCGTAGCCACGATGGAGAAAATCAGCCAACAAGTGCAAACCGCTGGTTTCGGAGTTGCTCTCACCGGTTCAGGACCAGATGCTAACTACGGTCTAGCGCAGTGTTACGGCGATCTCTCTTTAAACGACTGTGTTCTCTGTTACGCGGAAGCACGAACGATGCTTCCGCAGTGTTATCCTCAGAACGGAGGTCGAATCTTCCTCGATGGATGTTTCATGAGAGCTGAGAATTATAGTTTCTACAATGAATTCAAAGGACCTGAAGATACCGTCGTGTGTGGGAACACTACGAGGAGAAAGGAAGGGACTTTCGGGGATACGGTGAGACGAGTGGTGAGAAATGCTGTTGGTGAGGCTCCTAGGAACGGAGGGTACGCTCGTGCGGCTGGTGAGTCTGCGTTTGTGTTGGCGAATTGTTGGAGAAACTTGAGTCCTGAGTCTTGTAAAGAGTGTTTGGAGAATGCTTCTGCTTCTGTGGTTAAACATTGCTTGCCTTGGTCAGAAGGACGTGCGCTTCACACGGGGTGTTTTCTTAGGTACTCTGATGAAGATTTCTTGAACAAGATACCAAGAAACGGAAGATCCAGAGGTGATGACACAAAACAAATAGAATTTGCATTTTAAGCTTCATCATATAACTAACCGTTTTCGACTTTCGCAGGCTCTGTGGTAGTGATTGTTGTCTCAGTACTTAGTTCTGTGGTTGTCTTTATGGTTGGAATAGCGATTGGTGTTTATATCTGCAAAAACCGAAGAATACAGAAGAAGAGAAGAGGTAAGCCTAAAATTCTTACTTCTGATGAATCGGTGAACAGAAGAATAGAGTGTTTTACCGAGGTTTTCGGTGGTTTTCTTCAGGATCAAATGATGTTGAGAAAATGGCGAAAACTTTGAACGACAGTAGCTTGAACTTCAAATACTCAACACTAGAGAAAGCAACAGGTTCGTTTGACAATGCGAACAAACTCGGACAAGGCGGATTTGGAACTGTCTATAAGGTATGATCTAGTGGCTTTGCAACTATCTGTCTTGTTATCAAAGCAAATGAGTGATCTAGTGGCATCTCTCTCGGGGTTTAGGGGGTTCTTGCAGACGGAAGAGATATCGCTGTGAAACGTTTATTCTTCAATAACAGACACAGAGCAACAGATTTCTACAATGAAGTCAATATTATCAGTACTGTTGAACACAAGAACCTTGTCAGGCTGCTTGGTTGTAGCTGTTCAGGACCAGAGAGCCTCCTTGTCTATGAATACCTTCAGAACAAGAGCCTTGACCGATTCATCTTCGGTAAAAACAAAAAACAAAAACAACTTCTAATACTATTCGATGACTTTCATTCGTCTGATCCTGAAAGCAGAACCACACTAAACCAATCTTCTTCATTACTTTTGCAGATGTGAACAGAGGCAAAACATTAGACTGGCAGAGAAGATTCTTGATCATCGTTGGAACCGCTGAAGGATTGGTGTATCTGCACGAGCAGTCGACTGTGAAAATTATTCACAGAGACATAAAAGCAAGCAATATTCTGTTGGATTCAAAGCTTCAAGCTAAAATCGCCGACTTTGGACTAGCCAGATCATTCCAGGAGGATAAGAGCCATATCAGCACCGCCATTGCAGGGACTCTGTAAGTATATTTAAAACATATGACTTTGTTACTTCAAAAAAACCGTAAATGTTTGATCTGATCAAAAGATTGTGTATCTGCAGCGGTTATATGGCTCCGGAGTATTTGGCACACGGTCAGCTAACAGAGAAGGTAGATGTCTACAGCTTTGGAGTTCTTGTGCTAGAGATTGTAACTGGAATGCAGAACACCAAAAGCAAAATGTCAGATTACTCAGACAGTTTGATTACAGAAGTAAGTTCGACCGCGAAAAAAAACTGATTTCGTCTTATGGGTATTGAAATAGTAAACTTCTCATACTTATTGGTGTGTTATGTTTTGGCTAAACAAATTAGGCATGGAAGCATTTTCAGTCAGGAGAGTTGGAGGAAATATTTGATCCAAACATGAATTGGAAGAATGAAAATGACAGTATAATCATCAAAAAGGAGATAGTGAGGGTTGTTCAAATAGGGCTATTGTGCACTCAAGAAATCGCGGCGCTAAGACCGCCGATGTCAAAGGTGTTGCATATGCTAAGGAACAAAGACGAAATCCTGCCATTGCCAGGTAATCCTCCCTTTATGGATGAAAGAGTCATGGAATTTAGGGATGGTTCTGATGGCGACTCAGCTGCTTGTGCATCACTTGCCACTGTCTCGCAAAGTTCTTTCTACGGAAGATGAGCCTTAAAGAACAGCATAAGAACAAAAAAAAACATCGTTACGCATAAACCAACATTTTGTGGATTAAGAGAAGCTAGCTAGTAGTATATATATATAGATGTGAAATTGAGTAATTCGTATACCTTATGCAATGGCAATAGTAAGTTGAATTATGTACTACTACACAGGAACTAACAAACGATTATAGTATGGTGGGAATTGAATGAGTTAATGGTTTGTGGAGAAGTTTGAGACAATTATCACAATTCATTGACCAAGACTTAGACAAATCAATCTAATCGGCCAAGTTGACGCAAGACTTGCACAGCCTCCACACACTAAAGAGTTAATTCTTCTTCTTCTTAGAGAGAACCAGAGAAGCACACACAAAGCCATTACTTACAACACAAACTCTAATAAAAAGAAAAGATATGATGAATCGAAGCCATTGTTATTGCTTTTATGGTATTATTACCATCTTGTTCTCCTTCCTATTCCACACCTTTGCTTCTCCTCCGCAACACTTTTGCCGCCATGACCAACGGGATGCTCTTTTGGAGTTCAAAGACGAGTTTACGACCGAACAGTTTTTCATATTCATCAGTTCGTGGAATAAGAGCACCGATTGCTGTTTTTGGTATGGTGTCAGGTGCGACCATAGATCTGGCCAGGTGATATCACTCGACCTAAGTCTTGTCATTTTCCTCAACAGCTCTTTGAAAACTACCAGTAGCCTTTTTAAACTCCAATATCTTCGTCACCTAAACCTTAGGAATTGCAATCTCCAAGGAGGAATTTCTTCTTCACTAGGAAACCTCTCTCGTCTCACATTTCTTGACCTTTCTTGGAATCAATTTGTAGGTGAGATTCCAGCTTCAATAGGCAATCTAAACCAACTAAGAAACCTTAGCCTTTGGCATAACCATCTCACAGGAGAAATTCCTTCTTCACTAGGAAACCTGTCTCGTCTTTTAGATCTTCAACTTTGGGATAATGATTTGGTAGGTGAAGTTCCTGCTTCCATCGGAAACCTAAAGGAGCTACGAGTCATGTGGCTTAACCAAAACAGCTTAAGTGGCAATATTCCTACTTCCTTTGCCAATTTAACCAAGGTTTTTGATTTTAGCATCAGCTCTAATAACTTCACATCATCATCCACGCTTACAACCGACATGAGTGGATTCCACAGCTTGGAGGGTCTTGATGTTAGTGACAACTCATTTCTTGGACCTTTCCCTAAATCCTTGTTCTCGAATCATTCGTTACTATGGGTTGATGTGGGAGGAAACCAGTTCACAGGACCTATAGAGTTTGGGAATACATCTTCTTCATCATCATCTAAGCTTCGTGATCTTTTCCTTTGGAATAACAGATTTGACAACGGCCCAATTCCAGAATCCATATTTGAACTTCTCAACCTCAGATCATTAAGTCTTAGCCAGAACAAATTCACTGGTCCAATCCCTAGGTCTATGTCAAAGCTAGTTCACCTCAAGTATCTTGATCTTTCCAAGGTGAAGTACCTTATTTCTTATGGAGATTGGTGGACAATTCTTTCAGCAGTTTTGGAAAATCTTCACAAGAAACAGTGATGGAACAGTTGGATCTGAATTGGAATTCATTCCGAGGACCATTTCCACATTGGATATGCATGCTTAAAGAGTTACACATCTTGGACTTGTCCAACAATCTCTTCAACGACTCCATTCCTCCATGTTTAAGGAATCTCACTTTTAGTTTGAGACAGCTAATTTTGCGGAACAACAGTTTCAGTGGAACTCTTCCAGATATATTTGACAATGCTAGCTTGTTAAGATCATTCGACGTAAGTCGCAACCAGCTGGAGGGGAAGTTTCCGATGTCATTGATCAATTGCGGATATCTGGAACTTGTGAATGTGGAAAGCAACAAATTCAGAGACGAGTTTCCATCATTACATGTTCTCAGCCTCAGATCAAACGAGTTCTATGGGCCGCTGTATCAACCACACGTGTCCATTGGGTTTGAGAGTTTAAGAGTCATTGATATTTCTCTCAATGATTTCACTGGAACTCTCCCATCTTACTATTTTTCCGACTGGAGTGCAATGACCATGACCACATTTATCGACGGAATTTGGGAGTACATGCAAGATTATGTGAACTCTTTTGTTATTTATCGCTCAATAGAAATGGTGAATAAAGGAGTCGATGCGAGGTTTGAGCGGATCCGACAAGACTTCAGAGCCATTGATTTTTCTGGAAATGGCTTCTTGAAGGAATTACGTCTTCTCAACTTGTCCCGTAATGCATTCACAATCAATATCCCACGGTTCTTGTCAAATTTGACAAATCTCGAGACATTAGACCTATCCCGGAACAAGCTGTCAGGTCAAATCCCTCAAGATCTTGACAAACTCTCCTTTTTGTCATGCATGAACTTCTCCCATAACCTTCTCCAAGGCCCAGTGCCCCGAGGCACACAGTTTCAAAGGCAGAAATGTTCTTCATTCACGGACAATCCTAGACTCTACGGTCTCGAAGATATCTGTGGAGAAGCCCATGTTCCGAGTCCTACAGCATCACAACAACACCCCGAGGAATTGTCAGAAGAGTCGGAGGAAGAAATGTTCAACTGGGTAGCAGCTGCAATAGCCTATGGACCTGGTGTATTCTGTGGATTGGTGATCGGATATATCTTCACTTCACACAATCATGAGTGGTTCACAGAAAAGTTTGGTCGAAGAAAACTAAGAGTCACCACAAGAGCTCGTTAAGACCATCTCTTGCAATCTCTCTAATAAAGCATTTGTGAAGCATATGTTCGTCTTTGTACTGAATTTGATAGCTGTCTTCTCCAAAGAAAACTCATTTGTGTTTGTTTGTAATTTTCTATCTAATTGTTCTGTAATAAACATATGTGGAAGAAGCTTATGTTGATATACCATCGGTGGTGAAATCACCGCAAGGGGCGTTTTGATTATGGCCCGAAAATAAACAGCATTACCCTAAATCCGCTCCAAAAATAAGCCACACGTTTCCAAATTCGATGCTGGACCAAACTCAATAATAAGTACGAAAAACTCCAAAAGCACCGAATTTTGTCGGGATAACTTGAAGAAGAAGTGTTTACCA